CTTATTACATAAAGAAATAACAGGTCAAAAAATAGAAAAGAAAATAAAAATATAGCATCCCCCAGCAACTTCCCTAATTCTCTATCAATGGTCCCATTCTCCCATCGCATGTTTAAATGTAAGTTGGTAAGCCTTATTTGCGTTGTTCGCACTTGTTGTAATAACTTAAAGGTAAATGTTGTTAATGGCCTTAGTTGGTGTTGTGTAAGGGTTTCTAATGCCTGTAGTAACTTTTGTTACTTTAGGCTTCGTTCACTTCACCTTATTTTTGCTGAACTGAAATTATTTTTATTGAACTAAAACTATTTTTACTGATTTTCTATTATATTTCTTCTTTTAAATTATTGAATTATACTGAACTGAACTTATTTTTACTGAACTGAAATTATATTTACTAAACTGTACTGAAAGACGAAATACCTATCTCTTGCAGGTTATTTGCATCTTGGATTTCTAACTTGGGCTTTTATATGAATTGGTCCAACTTCCTTCTTCTTGATATCCAAGTATTGACAACAATGAAATTAGTATCCAAACGAACTGAACCCATAATCACCGAATTAAATTTAATTAAATCGACCTTGGGCTTAAATATACGATCATAAAATACGACCCGACTCCAATATCTTCGTAGAGGCTCAATAAGCTCGGGAATTAACATAAATATACAAATTCCTATAAAATAATACCAACTCTACAAAAACACTAGAAAACGTATATTAGTAATAAAAATAGCTCCACAGAGCTCTAATAAGCACAAATATGACCGTGGGACGGGGAATAAAAAACATATAAAATAGACTTATCAAACTCCTCCAAGCCAAACTTTTGCTTGTCCCTAAGCAAAGCAATGAATAAATAAATCAAAACTTCACCCCAAATATATTTCAGACCAATAATACGATTCAAGGAAAATCCGATAAACATGTATCAAAGTCAATCAATCATATCCATCTAACTACCAATCTTCTCTAACAATTGTCAAGTAGAGCAAACCACAAGTGTATATGAAATTCAAGACTAGTGCTCACACACTCTTCACTCTTTTATGTGGCAGATATAAGATGTATCCGATCACTCTCCATCCAACCCCTTTAATGTGAACAATGCCCCCCAAACTCAAAACACTCGTGTGTTTAAAAAGACATGCACTCAACCTAGTAGTCGACTCGAAATATATCAAATCATTCTTTGCATTGATAAACAACTAATTTCACATTCATACAACTCTATGCACAAAGGTCGGAAGGTCTTTAAGGCTTGTAATGTAAGGTTAGGGTAAAAGGTAGGATAAATTTGGGAAAATGTGAGAGTAAAGCCATGCTTAAGGGAGTCAAATCCTAATAAATAAAACCAAGATAAAAAATAAATAATGACCAAAACATCTCCAACACAACTCAACCGTACCAAAAATTCACCAAACATCCAATTCAATCACACTAGTAGAAATTTTGATATAGGCACCCCCCCTTTAGCACCGGTTCTTGAAAACCGGTGCCAAAAGAAATGGGCGGGATTGGAAAATTCAGAGTTGGCACCGGTTCCAACCAAAACCGGTGCCAACTAATCTAATTAGCACCGGTTCAAACCGGGGCCAACCAAAAAAAAAAAACCCCCGAAGAAAGCAATAGAGTTGGCACTGGTTTGAACCGGTGCCATAAAAAAAAACCGGGCTTCTCGTATTTCTTCTTCTTCTTTTCTTTCCCCCTAATTTTTCAACTTGTTTTTTTCCCTCAGCTCGTTCTCACCTTCTCTTCCAGGCCACCACCTCCGAATTCTCACCTTCTCCATTGAAGCCGTTTTTGAGCTCTCTCACTCCATTGAAGCAGCTGCATGCACCTCCTTCTCTCTCCATATCTCTCCTCCATTGAACTCGTGCTCTCTATTCTCCATTGAAGCGCATTCTGAGTTTTCTCACCTCCATTGAAGCAGCTTCGAGGTAAGATTTGGGCCATTGTGGTCTTCTTAAGTGGATTGCTAAACATCGCCCGCAAATCTCCACATAAACCCCACAAAATTCACTTGATTTGACAATATTGCCCTTGACCTAAAAAAAAACACTCACACTCTCATCACTCACACTCTCATCGCTCATCTTCTTTCAACATCTCTTAAAAAAAAATTCAAACTACGGCAATGTCGAGGCGGCAAGGCAAGGAATTGGCGGCGGCGGCGGAGGGAAGGAGGTCTCAAGGAGGCAAGGTACAATTTCTTAAAAAAAAAAATTGAAAACCGCCGTGACGGAGGTGGGGGCCTTGGCTGGACGCCCAGCCAGTGGTGGTGGCGCCAGCTGCAGACGCTGCAACCAGTGGGCTGGCGCCTGGGCTGAACGCCATAGCCACGGTTGTGGCGTTTTTTTAAAGCACAACAGCCGTGGCTATGGCGTCCAGCCCAGGCGCCAGCCCACTGGTTGCGGCGTCTGCAGCTGGCGCCACCACCACTGGCTGGGCGTCCAGCCAAGGCGCCCCCCCCCTTTTTTTTTGTATATGTCTATTAATTTTTTTTTTTAATTTTTTTTTGTGTAATATCTTTTTCAATTGTTTTTATATTTTGTTGTTTATTTTTATAAATTTTTTCAATTTTTTTGTATTTTTTCTATGTTATATTTTGTTTACAATTATTGGTGTGTTTTATTTGTACATTTTTATTTTTATTCTCTATTTCAATTTGTTAGTACATTTTTTTGTTCATTTGATATTGTTTTTGGTTAGTTAATTTATTTTAATTTTTATTATTGATTTATAAAGTCTTAAAAGGACGCTAGACAAAAATCAATATAAGTTCAGTAAATTATCAAATAAAGCGACTACACCTAATTGAAAACCAAAACTAAATTGGGAATGAATTATTTATGTTTATATATATTCTTATGTGTTGGTTTTATTTCCTTTCTTAGTGTATTTTTTATTCTATTATTTTTATTTAAGTGTTTTGTTAATTTATTTATTATGTTAATTTGTTAGTATGTTTTTAGTTTATTTGATTTGGGTATTAGTAGCTATTTTTCGTATAATTTTTTGTATGTTTATATATTTTTAAATTTTTTGTAGAATTCACTGGGTCGTCATGGTGCGGGGAAGAATGTAGAGCTTCTTAGTAAAGCTATTTAGTGGAGAGGTCGGGGCATAGACATGTTAGATCCCGTGGTATTTCGGCCTCGGCTCGTAGAGAACGGATCCACCGTCGGGATGAGGATGACGATGACGATGATGATGCTGAGGAGGGTGACCAGGAGGAGGAGCAGGAGGAGGGCGCATATGAGGATGAGGATGTGGACGATGGGAGTGGACCGTATGATGATTACGGTCCATTCAGTCAGAGGGTTGATGACATGTACGAGACACATATGGTGGAGGTGTGTAAGGGTAGGGGTGGTAGGTTTGTTAGTAGATCTGGCACATCATTTGCGTCCACTGTATCTGGGGCAAGCAGGAAACGGTCGAGGGCCGTTAATGATTCTTGGGTTGTTAGGAGTGAGGTGTCCGGTGGGCCTGTTGACGGGAGTGTGATTCCTAGCTTTCTAGGACACATAGCTGCCCGTATTTGGGAGGACCAGGAGAGGCCTTCAGTTACGGGGTTGTTGAAATGTCATACCCGGAAAAAGACTTGTAGCTTTTTGCGTACATGGGCTGAGGCTTGGCCGGCGGAGAGCAAGATGTTCGAGCGACTGGAGGGCACTGGGGTGAATCACGTTCCTGCCACCATTTCTTTCACAACTAGTTTCGCAGCAGGACTTAAGCCGCTCAGCTGTCGATGACCCTCTTCATATACTATCATCTCATAGTTGTGATACCCCCATTTAGAGTAACCAATCACTTCCCAACCGTCACGACTCCGTAGTTGTCGGACCTTTACTCTGAACTCACACCCACAACCTTTCCGCTTTGTATCAAACCGAGTGGCTGTACGAAAATCTCTTTCTTCTCTTTTGCGATAACGGTCACATCTCAAAATGCGATCCATTCTACCATCCCGTTGAGATTTATGAGTTACTACTACCAAGCAAAATCCAGCTGCAATTGCAACCTGTTTTGCCCAATCAATCGCTTGTTGAGCTTCTTCGAATGGACCATCATGTCCAAATATCCCACTGTAATCATTTCCGTCACCACCATAATCCTGCATCAATTATATATTATAATAAATACATTTAACGGATAATACATTTAATTTCTATATTTACACAGAATTAACAAAAAAAAACATAATTATGTATAATATTATTCATACACATACACATACAAATTTTAAACACAATCATTTATAAAAGTCACATAAACAATTTCCAATTTTTTTTTAATAAAATTTCAAATTGTCAAACTTAATTTTAGAAAAAAACCTTTCTCAACAATCAAACTTAATTTTTAAAAAAACCCAATTCGAATTTTCAAACTAAAATTAAAAAAATACCATTTCGAATTTTCAAACTTAATTTTAAAAAAATCTATTTCGAATTTTCAAAATTAATTTTAAAAAAAAAAACCCATTTCGAATTTTTAAAAAAAATCATTTTCGATTTTTAAAAAAAAAATTAAAAAAAATAAAAAAACAACAAAATCAAAAAAGAAAAAAAGAAAAAAAAAAACAAAAAAAAATATAAGGTGGCGTCTGCCAGGGCCGCCACAGCCACTGGACTGGCGCCTGGAAGGGCCGCCTCAGCCAGTAGAGTGGCGCCTGGCCAGGACGCCAGTCTGGTGGTCTGGGCGTCTGGGCTGGACGCCACTGTGGTGGTTATGGCGTCTGGCTTGGACGTCCAGGCTACGGTTAGGGCGTCCATCCTAGGCGCCGGAGCCACTCCTACGGTTAACCGTGAATTTTAACGGTGACTTACCTCGTTTTCCGTCGACGACGACATACCTCCGGCGTCCCCCGCATCTCCGGCCTGCCCTCCGGTCTCCCCCGGCGAGCCATTACGGCTCCACATTTTTTAAATCGAGATTTGTTCAATTTTAGAAAATGGGCATAATGGTCACATCATGTCATATTTGTGGGACTTTATATGGTATTTGCGGGCGATGTTTAACAAATCCCCTTCTTAATCTACCGAATTTCTTCGCAACCTAGGGTTTGTCGTTGATTTGGTTTTCAATTTTGTAATTTTAGGGTTCTGGTTTTATTTCTATTTTTTGTCAAACAAAATAAGTAGGAGAAGGAGATAGTAGGTCCTACCCGTCGCCCCTCACCCTTCGCCGGCCACCCTCCGTTCCCCTCAGCTGTCCTTCGTGCGTCGGCTACCGACCACCAGGTATTTTTTCTGATATTTTTCCTTAACACTAGACATCCTATTCTAACTATTGATCGGATTTTAATGGTTTATCAGTTATCACCTCCTTCATCTTCTTAATAACTGCAACCATTTGTAATTAGGGTGGAATTTCTCTTTCTTCAACAAGATTTCATTGCAAAAAATGGAGTCTGGGAATTATAAATCATGGGAAGAAGAAATTTACTGGAAGAATTTTCATTTTGCTCGTTTCTCTCTCATTTTACCCAATAATTTTCATCATCGTCTCGTAAGTATTCCTTAGTTAATTAAATTACTGCACATTATTTATTTAATATTAAGAGTATTTATTTTATTCCATTTCTTTACTTTGATCTTGTAAAATAAACTACAATTAAATTGCCAATGTACTAGTATTTTTATTGCTGATTTTTCTTCATTTTGGTTTCACCATTAGTTTATTATGATTATAAATGTGTTATTCCTCTTTTTTTCTCAAGGGTTTGTGAGTTGACTATGGTCAAGGTTTTTTTTTAAGGGTTCTACTCTCATCTAGAGCCTTCCTCTATGAATTCTCCTCTGCTTTTTAATAGAAAAATTGGATGTATTTATAGTTTCTCGTTGTGTGAACTAATTATGGTTTAGTTGGTGACTTGTATTTGTGCTTCCGCTGACTGATTAGGTTCTTTCCAGTGACTCATGTTCAACTTTCAATCCCTGGCAACTCAAGACACCAGATTGGTAGAATGCTTGTTGTTGATGCCTTGTAAGTATTTTCTTTGGAGTTATTGCTATGTAATTTTGTCACCTCTTCATAGCCATATTTGGAGACTATATCCAGGCCATGCTTTGCCCTGATTCAAATGTAGGGTGCCTCATCAATAATTAGATTCTTGTGTGTATTGATTTATTTTCGGTTGGCTACATAATTTTCTCCCTTGTTTGTATTAATTTATTTAAGCGAACACCTCTTTTCATGCTATGTTTGAGAATAACATGGTTATTACTTTGCTGCGACTGGATTTTCTTAGGTATGACTTACAACACTCTGGAGTTTATGACATCATTGGAAAACATGAAGATTCAGCAACTTGCATTGAGTATTTTCCAGAAACAGGTGAGTAGTATTTGGTAGAGCAATTGATGTGATAAAAATTAGTTTAGGAGGCAAATGCTTTGTGGTATGGTTTTATGATAATTTAGGCGTTATGTGTTAAGTCAGTAGAACCAAAAAGTTTTCATAATTCCTGTCTTGGTTTGTAATAGTTAAATTTTGTACTTGTCACGGCTAGTGTAAATATATACTCCGTACCTACACAAATGGATGCCAAGAGAATATCTTATAAATAAACCTGATGATTGAGAGTATCACATTTGTATGCCAAAGGATATTTGTAACATTGATGATAAAAAGTAGTCCGGTCCAAACATCCTTTTCAACTGAAAAAATAGGAAGCCTGACGTATGATTGGGTGAAAAGATTGATGCTATTTGTTCAAGATTAAAAGAACCCAATGCCTTATGTCCCACCATTCTACTACTAGTATAAATTGTTTGGTTTATGACTAATTAATTATGTATGTATGTAACAAGCAAAGTTCGATTTCATAGTTTGGTTAGAAATGGATAATCTGCATCCTGAGGCTCAAAATGCGCTAAGCTAGCTGTTAAAGCATGATCGATTTTATGCTGTTTCTAAGCCTCTAGATGCAGATGATCTGTTTCTTGCCAGGGCTCTATTATTTCACTTAGCTTGCTCGTCTTATGTTTACTTTCTGGTATATACGAGTGATCATGAGTCTGTTTGAGGTTTATATGCTTGTTTCGATATATATATATAACACGTTGTTTTCAGCATGATCACAAGTCCTGGAGGTTTCTTAGCTTGCCAAGACTGAGGTCATTATGATCAAGAGTCTTTAAGGTATATGCTTCTTTCAGCTATGTTATTTTACGAAGGCCTAAAATAAATAGAATTCTGTAATATTATTCTAGATTGAATTGTGTAATAAGTATTCAAATGCAATATTGTTTTAACTTATAGTTTTACACCAATGATATCTTTTGTTCTTCATATTGTCCTGTCTTGGATAAAGTTATCAGATTATGTATAATTTTATAATAACCACATTAAAGTGAGCAGCTTAATATATAGAAAACTTCCTGTAAATCTAAAATCATGCTCTTTACAACATCTCTGCTTCTCTTAAATGGTATGAATATTGGATCACTTAGGTCTGTAGTGCCAATTGATTTATGAATGACACCTCATTCTAGCTTATTACAAACTCTTTCCCTTGTCAAATTATTGCCTATAAGCTCATCAACAACTCTCTTCCCTACCCTAACCCTTTCCTTCTCAAGCTCAACAATTCTCCCCCTTTCCTTTGCTAAACAGTTTGATAGAAAAACTATGGTAAGCAGTTTCATTGGAGTCGGTCAAGTTGATGCAATGTTGATATTAAGCAGTAGCAGTAGCAGTAGCAGAAGCAGAAGCAGAATAGCAATAGCAGAACAGCAAGCAGAACACAAAGTAGCAGAAGCAGAAGCAGTAGCAGAATAGTAGTAGCAGAAGCAGAACAACAGTAGCAGTAGCAGAAGCAGAACAGTAGTAGTTCTGATATCCTGGCTGTGATAGTTCTTGGAGTTATCGGAGGTGTTCTGGGCAGCTTTTATAATTATCTTATTGACATGCACTATCGTTGACAACGTTGTTTAATCCCTTATTTTGATTATGCTTGTGAATGTAACATCACCAGGCCAGCAAAACAGCAGCAACAGCCATCACCACGCAGGCACAGCACCAGGCCTTCTCATATGGTCTGCCATCAACGAATTTATATGTTGTTTTTTTTTCAATTTTGTAAAGTGTAATATTACAAGTTATTGAACAAAATATATGTGTTTATGTATATTAGTATTATATATAAGTATTTGGTACAATTTAAGTGAAAAAAATGCAAAAAAAAACAAATTTTTTATTTTTTTATTTTTTTGGGGTATTTTTGGCACCGGTTTTGACCAGAACCGGTGCCAAAATTTTATAATTTTTTTTGACACTTTTGGCACCGGTTCAAAGAAAGAATCGGTGCTTAAAGTGGAGTTTTTTGCATCGGTTCTTTCTTTGAACCGGTGCCAATAGTATTGAAAATAATAATAAAAAAACGCGCCATGGTAGTTGGCACCGGTTAACCAGTGCCAAAGCATGTAGTTGGCACCGGTTAATTGGTGCCAAATGCTTTAGTTGGCACCGGTTCAAAACCGGTGCCAAATTTTCATGGATTTGGCATCCCTCAAATACCCAATGGTTCAAAACCGGTGCCAAAGGGGGGGTTTGAACCGGTGCCTTTTTATCTTTTTCGTCTAGTGTCATAACAAAATTCCCCTAACACTTACAACTTTACTCATAAAATTATGATAATAAAGAACTTAAGTGAATCAAACAAACTTTGAATTTTTTTTCTTTTGAATTTGATCTTTATTATTTTGAATTTTTTTCCTTTGAGCAACCTTCATTAGAACACTTGCACATTGAAACAATTTTTTTTTTTGCTTTTGCTCTTTTTTTTCTTTTTATCTCACATGGAATTTTTTCACTTTTGAACACTTTTTTTAATTTATTCCAATTTACAAAAATAAGAAAAAATAAATAACTTCTCAAATCCACCCACATTGTGCAAATGAATACGCACACTACAAACTCCCTCACCTCACTCACTAATAGCTCCCCCAAGCCAAGCTTGGGACTAGTAACCAATGGGGCAAAACAAGCTTATAATGTGGCTAATAAACAACAAAAAGTCAAGGCAACAACATGGGTAGCAAGAAGGGAACAAATGTATCTAATATCGTCTGAAGGCCAACTAAAAGAACAAATGCCTTCGTCCTCCTCATTGTGCATAATAATCAGTCATACAAACATTACTCAAAGTTATAAACCAATACTCAACTTCATTGACATACCAAGAACTAACACACATTCCTAACCAAATCAACTAGTCAAGCATTATATTCACAAGCAGTTGGGCAAAATTGACTCATGTTAAGACATCAAAGCAATCAAACATCAAATCATGGCTAACCTATCCACAATACTCATTATCATATACCAAGAATCAAAACAATTTTCATATATGGGGCACAGGAAAGCATGATTTATAGTTCAATGGAACGTATTTTTGGATTTTTTTTTTTTTTTGAAAGCACTAAATCTTACTACTAGTCTAAACACACTAAAAAAACTAAATAAATAAATGAGAGAGAGTGAAAGATATATCATGCGTACACGAGAACCTCCCCCCAGGCTAAATCAGACAATGTCCTCATTGTCTTAAAGGGAAGCTAGTAGTCAAGGTGACTACTCCTCATCATCATCACCAAAATAATGTCACCAAAGCCTCGAATATTGCTATGCATCTCTTTGGAACAAATTTGGGCAAGAATGAAACAAAGTGTTAGTGGGAAAAAGATAAAAATTGAGTCATGTGCACTATTATGATCATAACTTTTGATGTATAAATTATAATGCAGTGATTCTAATTTGGTTGGAAAGTAGACTTGAAGATCTTTCCAACGATAGGTCACACACAAAAATCCGATAAGTATCGAGAAAGTTATGGCCTGTTGAACTTGAGCAGTTTTGTTGATCCGTACGCGCTCCCGATCGGGCGAGCTCTACCCGATCGAATACGAGTGCAGTTCAGCGAATTCAATTATTTTCTAGCTCAAAATATGCACAAAAACAAACTCCCACAAGCATAAGTTACACTCTTCTTACCTCTCTAAGAACAAAAAAAAACGAAAACACACAAAAATTAGGAAAGACTAAAATAAAAAAACAATAAAATACGGGTTGCCTCCCGCAAAGCGCTAGTTTATCAAGGTCCCGCTCGACCGTACTCCATCCCTCCTCAATCAGAAGAATTTAACGCCTTGAGTTACTTATCAAACGCTCCTGCAAACATTTCATTAAGCACTAGATAGGGCTTGATTGCAAGCATAGTTAACTTTACATAGAAAATATCAGGAGCACATAAAGAGAACTCAAGGTAGTAGGAAAAATCAAAAGAAAGAGATGAAAATATACCACCACCTTCTACTTCCTCCGCTAAAAATTTAGAATTAATAGAACGAACATGGAGGTAGTCTTCGTCTTTATCATCCAATAATGACTTGAATAGTTTACCCTCATGAATAACCTCATCATTAACAAAGGAATTTTCAACCATCGTTTCTACAACTAATGATTTTTCAACCACAAATTCTATAACCGATGGTTCTTCTTCCTCAATCAAATTCATACTGATTAGGGGATTTTGCTCCCACCAATCGGAATGCGCCACGTGGGCCAATCAGGTCCTGCCAAGTGTCCCCCAGTTGGACCTCTCAGGGCTTGCCACGTGGCACACGCTTATTCGTCCACCCTGGACTTATTATGTCATGACACGTGGCATACTCCATGCCTAATGGAGAAGCCGGTCACCTAGGCCCAACTTCCGAGGGAAGCCCAATCAGCCCAAGGTTAACCTAAACCTAGATTGGCACGTTTCCCGAGGTTATAAATACCTCCCTTAATCCTCATTAAGGGAGATTACGCAGTTTACATACACTAAACACTCTCACCTAGAGAGACCCAATCACTTTAATTTCCGCATTAATTACTCCTTAATCAAGTACTAACTTGACCGTCGGAGGCGGATTTCCAATCATCCGGAGCATCCGTTTGTTTTGCAGGTACAGGCGTCCGGTTCCAGTCTCAGAATTGTAACTCTCCCGCAGGACATCAGAAAACCCCGAAACATTTTGGCGCCGTCTGTGGGGAGAGTACTTCTGAGATGGCATCCACGTCTGTACCGACTCCTGAAGAGAGGCGTCCCCTAGACGACCCTCAAGTTCAGTCGGACCATGATACTGAGGAAGAATTTAAAGTTGAAGCTCACACAGCTTCAGACGGGACCCTAAGGGCCCGGCGCACCCGTCCTACCGAAAGGAGGGAACGAGAGGCTGGTCCTAGTCGGTCAGCCGGCCCACCGCCTGAGACTCAGCAGGCGGCCGAAGGATCTGCTCCTATTACTAGGACAGAACTCATGACTCTCATGAGTACTTTCAAGGGAAAGATCCAAGAGCTTGTCAATAAAAAGGCGACTGCTCCACCAAAGGAACAGTCGGCCAGATCAAACAACTCCCAGTTGAAGTTACATGCGCCTCGCATGAAATTACTGGGTAAAACCGGCAATATACCAGCCTCCGAGCATCCGTCCAGGCGGCCAACTACTGCAGGCGTCATACGGCCGAATGCAAAGAGTCAGACGGTCAAGCTTCTCCACCTAAGAGCCTTAGGTGGCAACCTACTACAAAGTTAATCTTAGCATTTTATATTATCAAGTGGCATAAGTAGTATCATAACTACCAGCCCACATCGCTATATACATAGCCGGCTCCCATGATGCTTGTCACGAACAGCTTCCTCGGTCGGTTGTTCTACATGTCTAGGAAGCCTACTGTTTTTCCTTTGATAAAGGCCCGACTGTGAGTGCAGTAGTGGCATGCCAACGTCGAGCCTTTGAGCTTTTAGGCGGCAACCATAAGAGCAGCCCTCATTCTCGCATAAACAGCCGGCTCTATATGATGTTTTATCAAGGTACAGTCGCAAGGTTTTTGCTCAAAATATAATGCCAAGTATACTTGATACAAATGAGTTTGGTTCCAGCTTGTTCTTCCAAAAGCAAACAACCAAAATACTCGCACATATAAAAATCTCTCGGCCTGCCGAGTGGAGTAGCGCTTGGCTCGTAGTAATATAATTGGTCATGAGAGTGAATGCTTTAACTTGTTCATGTGCTAGTCTCTTATTGTGAAAGCTGGGCATTGGCGTCTCGCCCAAGGAAGCAGGCGGCCAGATGACAGCCGGCCTAGTCCTAGCCACGAAGCATGACAAATCAGCTAGCCATGCTAATGTAGGCGACACCTAAACAGCCAGCCCAATCCGAGCCACCAAACAGCCGGATTGATCACTTCAAGAACAAGCAACTCAAAAGGCCGAGACGAATGAGTTCGTGTGTATGTAAAAAATAGGCAGCTAGGCAGCTGTATTTATGTATGGGAAGCATTGAAACCGGCTGTTTAGCCATCAAGTAAATCCAACAAACCACTTGTCTTTCATGAAAGCAGGCGGCATCCACAGCGAACGCATCAAGCAATGCGTGAGGTGATATGGGTCTTCATGTTTTGTAATGAGGGCCGAGTCTTGAATCACTTTGGTCTAAATAATGCCCAACACGATCAAAACATAATTAAAACAAGCGGCAAGCTGATCATACGGCATCATGTGGCCGAATAAAATTTTGAAAGTTAGCTCCATTGAGAAGAGCAGCTCGGCATCCTTACCAAAGCACCATGTAAGCTCAAAATGAGTGCCTTTTGAAATTTCATAGTATCATGGGTAAACATCAAGAATCAAACGACACATTGCTATTGTTTGTAAAGAAACAGCCACCATGTGTATGCACGCAACAGCAAGTCCCTTGTATGTCTATAGACAGCCGGCAGTTCTGAGGGAGGAGTCAAAGTGACCCCTTCCCATTTTACAGTTGACAATTCTACATTCTCTCCTGCTCCTATTAAAGGAGAGGAGGCGGGCCCCTCCGGGAGAGGGGAGGAGTCGTCCTCTTCGGACTCGTTAGAGGACGAATCCGAGTCTAGCTCTTCTGGCCATGCTTCTATGGACACAGAAGAGAAAAACAGTCGCCTACAAGAGGCGAGGCTTTCTCACGCAGTTGAGAAGAGGGACGATTGGGCGGAGCCATCTGCCTCTCACCGAGAGCAAAATACCCCCTACTACTGCACGGTACCTCGGGGCCGGATCACGGCCATGCAAGAGAAAATGGGGAGATTTATCGCAAACCACACAATGGG